CTTGTCATGACATACCTGCCAAGGAATCGGGCACAAAAGCCTCAGCGCGCCATGTAGTTGTGATTTGGTCTGGAGCCAGCAAAATGGGATGCATTCGGTCTGTTTGCTAGTGAGGTGCCGCAAGCCTGCCTCGGTCATGGAATGAGCTCAGCCTCGTTGCCTACGAGTGGCAGGCCACCTTAATTGAAACTCCGAACACAGCTAAGAGCCAGAGACTGTTGTAGGTAGGCCAAAACCAAAAGCTCCACCTGAGCGACCATCAGGTTAAGCACACGGTCAGTGTACTGCAGCTGCGTCAAGGCCTGGATCATACCACAGCTAAAAGCTTGCATCATCCGTGCTGCACAGGAGTACCCTGAGTACCGAGGGCCTTCCGCGCCATCAGAATCATGGACGGGCGAGCATGCTCCCAAGGCCGACTGCTGTACCCCCAATAAGGTCTGCGATGCTGCGAAGTCAACAGACACATGCCTCCCCTCACATCGCGCAACCCTGAGCAAGGTTCAACTAGTTGGCCGAGGAGCAAAGCGGAACATGCGCGCACATTTACATGGCAATCAGCCAGCTGCCGCGCTGAAAGTCCAAGAGGCAAACCATATGGGCAGTCCAAGCGAAGGACCCGCTCCAGGCGAATACCAGTCTCACCGGCATGCTGGAGCGAGAATGCCTGCATGGTAACCATGGAACGAAACATGGCCTCGAGCAGTAGCAAGGCCACGCTGGAAGCTGACGAGCCAGACCTGATGTTTCCCCTACTATGAGTCCTCATCATGGTTGTCTGGAAGCCCGATGAAGAGGTTCATGACCATCCCTACCAATCCCAACTCAGCAGCGCCAAGTGTTGGCCGCGCCAATTCCACATTGCGGCGCTGATATTCAAACCCCAGGGCGCCATGGTCTTTGGGCATCTACCTCAGCTCTTGTCCCCTCCCAAAAATGACATGTTTGAATTCGGGACCATTTTAAGTCAACCTATAAATGCTGAATGAGAGGCAGGCGAGTGCTGGCTGTCAAGCTTTTGCCGTGATGGGCAAGGCGCAGATGGAAGTATGGGCTCTCAGTCAATGGTTGTCAGCACATATCACGTATCTGCTTTCCAGCGGCCCAGACCGAAGAAAAACCAACAAGGCGACCCAATGTAGAAATCTCGATCCGAAAGGACACACTCAACAGGTACACTCAACAGGTGGTTGGCCCCAATCTCATGGCTTCCCTCTTGCAACCCTTGCCCAAAGCAAGGCACCGCCAGGGATATCCGACGAGTCTTCCTGCGAAGGATCCTAGGCCATGCGTGTCCAACCATCGCCACAGTCCGTCGCCACGGTCCGTCGCCACAGTCCGTCGCCACAGTCCTCCCCCTCCTTCAGATCGCATGAATCTCATCCTCTGTCTCGATATTCAGCCCAATCATTCTCAGCCAGCGGCGTTTTCCGTCCTTACGTCCTTGCCAAGCTGTTGTCAATGAGGTCCTTTACTATCAAGCGGTTGTATCAAGCATCGACAAACTGCTGCCAAGCACAGGAGAGCATTCAACCATCCGACCCGCGTCGAGTCGGAGCACGGCGCTCAGGTTGGACGCAATAGCATTGAATGACCAGCAAATCTAGGCCATCGGAAGACAAACACTGCGGCGGCACATCCATTGTCCAGCCCAGCGTCCCTACAACCGCAAGTCCATTTTCCCATGAGTTCATAAAAGGGAAGCCCCTCAATAAAGGGAAGCCCCCACAACAAAACAAAGAGCCCGGGCAAAACCAACGACAACCCCAGAAACGGGCTGGACAGAAGCGTCCTTTTGGAAAAAATGAGAAATGCACCGGTGAATGAGAAAAGAACCAAAGGGAAACCAGTGCCATCTATTTCGAAACAAAAAGCTAACCTCTAAAAGGACACCTATTGGGGGTGGGCGACTTCCGCTTAGCTCGGCGCCCTCATGGCGGCCACCATGCGGCGGTCGTCCAGCGGCAGGGCTTCCGGCGGCGCCTGACTCGGGTCTCTCGGCTTCACGCCTTTGGGACGTAGCAACTGCGCCTTTTTGAGATGCAGTAGGCAACCAAGCGACACCTCCGAGCCGGAGTATGGTTGCAGACTGTTGGTGAAACAAGAGGGCACCCAGAGATTGATCTGAAGGACGCTTGGGAAAAAAATGGCGCGGTCTTCCAAGTTGGATCGAAACATATTGTTTGAGGATCCTTCAAATTCGGCAGGGTGCTAATATACACCCCAAACTGCAGAAATGTAGCCAGGTTTGCGGCGTGTCATCGGTGACTGCAACTCCTTTTGCATGAAGCGCTACTTTCAATCTGTCAAAGCAAAGCGAGCTAACAACACGGAAGGTTGCAACGTTGGGTGTGTCCTTGGAAAACTCCTGCGCAGGTTTGTGACCTTGTACCATGTCTGTGTGTCTGTGTGTGCGACCCTGGCACAGCGCATTGGGCTCAGTAAACGCGCAAGAACACATGTGGTTTCTACATTACCATGGTCGAATGCTTACCGTATTGCTACCACTCAGTGGTTAGTGGTTGTCATGCGTACGTTTGCTTGCTTTTCTCATGGCTTTTTCTGTGGGGCAGAGCATCATGGCATCAGGTCAAACTGCAGACCATAACAATCAACAAGCAGCAACAGAAGGACACAACCTTCCAAACGCACCTCGCAGTCATGCGTACATTGATGCGAACACAAAAGTGCTCCCACTGCAGGCAAAGGATGTTGACAAACACTGCGCACAAACTGATGTTGAGAATGTGCATATATATATATATATGTGTATGTATATATTTACATACATCCTAGCCTAGCAATCTGTGGTAGGCTCGGTTAGCAAGAATACAATATCCCTTGCCTGCAAGTGCTGGAAGGACCGCTCACAGAGGGTCCAGCGATGCTGAAACGTACCAACATAAAACACTATGCATGTGATTAGAGTACAAGCCAACTGCTACGCACATTACATACAAATGACACACATCTTACATGGGTAGTTCACAAACCGACAACGCGGGCAGCGTTAGTTGCTAGCTGAAGGGATCCCAAGATGCGTATGTTCGACTTCAAGGAAGCGGAAAACTGAGCTTCACAGCTGGGCATGTGCATCGGAGAGCGGCATCTTCGGCTAGTTGAATAGACGGTTGCAAAAACCGCAGCAGGCTCACGGCATCGTCAAACTGTCAACGATACCTAAGACATCCTCTGCAAAGGCTGACGAATGTGCACAAATACCAGCTGGAATCAATTTGCCTCCCCTCCCCTCCCCTCCCCTCCCCTCCCTCCCTCCCTCCATCCATAGTAATCTGCCCAACATCGGGTTCACACGGTTGCCTCCAAGTCCGCCTGGGTGGAGGCCATGGTCATTGCCTTCAGCAACGCCGGCGCCTCGCCTGGGAATCGAGCCATTTCTTTTGCCGTCAGTTTGATGTTTGTGGTGTTTCTCCGCAGAAAACCGGTTGAAAATACGTCGGCACAAGGTAAGAATAGCGTTGACCGATCGGAAGCAATTGGCACAGAAGGGCCTTTCAGCAACTTCGGACATGAACGCGATCTGACTGACCAACACGGGCATGCATCTTGCTCTGCGACATATCTAAAACATGTGCGTGCTCAAAATGGAATGCTACACTGAATTTTGCAGCTGGTCGCGCAAGCCTGGTGCAGGTCCGCACACTGACTCTCAGAACATATGAGCGGATTCAGGATATGCTGTGTTTCAAATCCGTCCCCCCCCCCCCATCCACTTGAGCCATCCGTCTTTGCCAATTCCACGACAAAGAGCTACCTTCAACGAGAGTGACGACTGATAAAATCGAAACTGGTCATGGGGCTAGAGACATGATACCTTTGTGTGTGTCAGCAAGGATCTGTATCCGGCTATCTGGCCACAAAAGCGAAAGTTCAATCTCGTAGCCTGGCTAGTTGACACATGTGCCGTTGGTGTTTGCAAACTCTTGCCAAAGGGGTGGTATGGGCTTCCAAGATATGCGCATACGGCGACACCTGAACGCGTTCGGATGTTAGGCATGTCAAACCAACCATGTGTTCTCCAAACTCGGCCGGCATCATACAAGCATGATACGATCAATGCAACATGCTTGATCCAGTGGCTTGATCCAGAAAGAAAGAGAGAAAGAAAGAGGGAAAGAAAGAGAGAGAGAGAGAGAGAAAGAAAGAAAGAAAGAAAGAAAGAAAGAAAGAAAGAAAGAAAGAAATAAAGAAATAAAGAAAGAAAGAAAGAAAGAAAGCAAGCAAGCAAGCACAGACACAAACAAGCGGAGACAAACACAGAGACAGACACAGAGACAGAGACAGACACAGACACAGAGACAGACACAGAAACAGACTGGACGAACAAACAGAGACAGAGAGAGAGAGAGGGAGGGAGACACACAGAAACAGAGACACAGACAAAGACAGAGACAGACACAGACACAGAAACAGACTGGACAAACAAATAGAGACAGACAGACAGAGAGAGAGAGAGAGAGAGAGGGGGAGAGGGAGAGAGAGGGGGAGACGCGCGGGGCAAAGCTTGCCGAATTTCTACAGAGGCCCCGGCCAGCCATGACACCTGTGCGACTGCACTGGTGGCGTTGGCGGCCTTTGACCCCTACATGTGGTGTTGGTGACTTTAGTACCCGTGTTTGGGCCTGGTTTCGGGGGCAGCCAAAAGAAACTGCCTGTCCAAAGAATTGCCTGCCCTTTTCGGCGTCCCCCATCTGGAGACCCTCAATATGGTTTAACAAATTGCTTGAAAGAGAACTGGAGAAGATAAAATTTGATATGCTTTGCTCTGGCCTGCTCTGGTTTGCTCTGCTTTGCTATGCATTGGTTTGTTTTCTATGCCTTTGTGCGCTGCTTTGGCTCTTTGCCTTTTTTTGCTTTGTCGTGCTTTGCCTTTCTGCTTTGCTTGCTTGCTTGTTGGCCCCTGTCTGTCTGTCTGCCTGCTTGCTTGCCAATCAAAAGCGGAGCAAACATGGCCAAGCCAAAGCAAGTCTGAAACACATTGTTCTTGAAAGTCCGCACAACAGTTACCTGTGATTCCGCGGTGATGGTCCGCTGAATTGAAAAGGCATGTTGGACAGTTGTAGGAGACTTGCTCACAACAATACGATGCCAATGTGGCTGAAAGTGGCCATGTAGCGGAGTGCCTGCTGCTTTTTGTTGGGCAGGAATCTGAACAAGGAAGTCGCTTATGCAGCACTGTTCTGGTAAGCATCGAACTCCAGGGATAACTCGAGGAGGCGCCTCCACTAACATGATTGCATGTGCATAGCAGGCTCTGGCCGTTGCGGTCTATCTCATACAAGCTCCCAAGAATGGGGTTCCTTGCAACTATTGAGAACAAGGTACTCTCAAAAAAGAGTATCCACCTATTGGGTCCTGGCAGGGCCCGGCCTCAAATGCGGCCGCGGTTTCCGCGGATACTCGACTATGGGAACGCCTATCGCGTCGGTTCAAGGACTCGTGGTCTCTTGATTTCCTTTGGTGGGACCTCCGGTCAAGTGCAGTCCAAGTCCAATGGCCTTTTGCATGTCTAGCTTCAGCGCTGAAGAACATGCTTGTTGGAAAGCGTCTCAATCTAGTTTCATGGTGCATTTTCGCACCCCAGTCCATGTCTCACATGACAAGGCGGTCATTTATTCACATTGTTGATCCTCTGCAAGAGGTAACCTCTTGCGATCTGCCGCTGCTGGGGGGCATGTTCAACATTCTCCACCTGCCCGCAAGCGCCCCTCTGGCTGGATGGAAATGGGCTGACGCGGCCGGCAGAAGAATTGCGTGGTATTGGTTTACTGGTTCAGCCAAATTCGGCTTAGCTGATTACCAACTTGCTCATATTGTCGCTGTACAAGCTTAAAGTGCGAGGGCATGGGAGGCTGGGCCAGGGCTTGGGGGCGGGTTGGCTTGGGGGGAGTTATCTGAAGTTGACATTGCTCTCTGTACGCCGCACCGTCGAGCCTCAAAGCCTACCAAAGCCTACCTGTGTTCGCCCCCAACCGATGCATTCAATTCACGGTAGCCTGCATCAGCCCAAAGACCTATTTGTGCTACAGCTTGCACCCCCCAGCAAATGATTGAGGAAGTTGATCCAGCCTCAAGTGCTCGCTAAACTCATAGTCACAACAAAGAGGACTTGCCTGCGAAGCTTCATGTTGCAGCACAAAGCTTGTTGAACGGAAACTAGCATTTGGGGGGTTCAAGATGCAAGGATCATCTTCAAGCTTGTTTTGGTGGACAGGCAAAACAAGGCAGCAGAGGATTGAAACAAGCCACCGAGGAAACACTCAGGTAGGCAGCCGCCTCCCAGTAGGGCCCCGCCGCTGCCTGTGTCTCCTTTTTCAGCCAAATGTTCCTCTCAGGCGATTCAGCAGGTCATCATTTCATCAGTTGGTCAGTTGCATTGCTCCAGTTGGAGCGGGGCAAATCTGAGCGAAGCCGAAAAAAACAAGCAGGGGACCCCGTTTTTGCTCATGTTGTTTCTTGAGACTGTAAGGGGAATCAAGCAAACAGGAAACGGGGTCCCCACCTAGGCAAGTCCGGTCGTCCAAGCCCTGAGCTCAAGGAAAAGGCATTCCCTACGACTCCAAACACACTTGGCACTTGGCATTTGCCAGGTGCTGGCGCTGTTCCCCCTAAGGGACCTAGACTTCGCGTCTGAAACTCGCTTCGCGCATCTTCGCCTCAGGCCAGAAGCTAACCAATTGAAATCCCGTGGCTGCAAAAAACAAGACAAACAACATGTGTGCTGCAAAGCAAGTGTGTAAATGAAAATGATGATATGTCTGTATATATATATAATACACATGGGTAGGATTTCTAACTGGCAACCCTTTACTGGACATCATGCACTTCTGGACACGGATCTATCCGGGGCGCCAGTGCCAGGCAGTGCCAGAAACTGGCATCGCTTTCGAGTGCCTCACGACCGCCGCACGCGACTTCAGCAGCGATGTCCTCGTGATAGAAGGAATGCGGAACCAGGTACAGTAGGTGCTTCATCCCAGTCATGGGGTTATTCATCTGAACTGGATTCTGTCCATCCACAATAGCTCCACGGGGCAAGCTTGGCATTTTTAATGCCAACAAGAAACATGTCCATGCATAGGCAAAAGCATCAAGTCCACGCCACTCCGAACGGTCCTCAGCGCCCTGTCTCACACCTGGCACGCGGCGAGAGTATTATTGATTGGGACCCTGTGGACATCATATGGATCATTTACATGAAGTTTATGTCCAATCACGAATCACAGGGCCCTCTTTAAGATTCGTAGCCAAATGGGAAACCTAACAAAACGTTCTGCGAGCTCTCCTATGTTCCGTCGTGTGTTGGCTCGGCGTCTTGTTCTCTGTTCCACGGGCCCATGAAGCCCCATGCGTTTCCTTCGAACTCGGCCGCGCAGCTGGCGCGAACCACTCAAACTGAACCTCCTGACCTTAGGTGAAAGAGGAGCAGCCTGCGTAAATGTTCTGTCTCCAGGCAGCAAGCGCAATGTAATTGATTCTTCTGGTGGGGCCCTAGTGTCTTGCCAGCGCTTCAAGAAACCTTGCCAAAAGCCAAAAGCAAGCGCAGCATCGTACAGGGCAAGCAATTATCGAAGCTGCCGAAACCAACAGGACTAGAAATCCCCAAAGCCCGTGCGGCGGCCAGAAAACCGTGTTACGGGTCAACTCCGACACACGATCAAAAGCCGCGAAAGCGGAGCAACATTCATGCTACCTTTTCCACCACGGATGCCGAAATGTCATGGTTGCACCAAACGAAGCGTTCTGTAGATCCCAAGGCCCCCTCCCAGCGACGAGTCGATGGCTTTGCAGTTATCCCTGTGAAACCGAAACCTCCAAGGGAGGACTGGCTGGGGAAATAACCCTTTCTGTTGTTGGATGCCTTGAGGATCACAGAAAGTGGCCTTGACAGCCGAGTCTTGGGGGCTTTCAACAAAGCAAGAGGGAGCCGGAACCCAAAGGCCGACCGTGGCCCACACTTCCCTCTGCTCCCCGCCCCGCCCGTGTGGAGCTCTGGAAGTCCGAAGGCACGTCATCAAGACACAAAAATCCCGACCTGGGATGCTGGCCGCCGGAAGGCGGCAAACGAGAGAAAAAGCTCCGACTCCAAATGTGTAGCACTCTCTTCGGCGTTTCCTTTTAGACAAAAACACACTCACGTATGGGTCCCCAGTTCGGACAGGGATACCACAATCTCAGGAGCCTGAATCGAGAGGCCCAATTTCCCCGCTTGCGGCTCCCAACAAGCGTGTTATGCTGATATATGGATGTGGCTCACAAACCGGTACCAAAATGGAACCTGGCTAAGTGGACACATGGACCCAAACCCACGGTTTGCCCCTCCAGTTTAATTTTGAGCCACAGCCATATGTTGATAAATCTTGTTGGGCCCGGGTGAGCTGGCGGGTTTTGAAGAGGGGGTGCACTCCTCAACCAGGTTCGGTGCGCTACAAAAAGCTTCACCCTTTTTGACACAAAGAGTCGAAACAGAAACAAAAATATCCCTCTCTCTCTCTCGCTCTCTCTGTCGCTCTCTCTCTCTCTCTCTCTCTCTCTCGTGTGGCCATGCCCGCAACTTTTGACTGCCCCAAGGTTCGGGCGTGAACTCCCGAACCAGGGAGGCCGCCTGTTCAGGGGTGGCATTCTCCTCGCAGAAGTCGATGACCTGCGCAATCGTCCCTCCCTGCACATGGGATGGATAAAGTGACAAAACTCTATAGATGGCAAATAGATGGCACTGATTGACGATGAGAACCACACTGGAAGCAGTGTCATGCATTTTCAACCAAGCTGACTTAGGACAGCCCTGGTCCCCCCAACCGTTTGCTGGAGAGTTGATGGAGGCCTGTCCTGAAATGGGCCCAACATTGAAGGGCGGACCCAGATTCCGAAAGTGCTGAGGATGTGACTTTGAAATGAGGGTCCCCCATGAATGGCATGTCGTATCTTTCGAAGCTACTGGCCCCTCGTGAAGCGTAACATATATATATATATCCTATCGCAAGGGTCCCTTATTGCCAATCACAAGGAGGAGCCGCCTTGTCTACCAAGACAACCCACATCCTAAAATGATGCCAAACTTCAGCTGGTGACTAGAGCATGTGATCTGGAAAGTAAAGCTATTGATTTTTGGTGAGTCGACTACCTCCTCAAACAGGACAAGCCAACTCAACACACGACATCGGCATCGGAATCTCCAGGCTGGCCCATTCTCTCCCCTGATCCGAAGCAGGACAGGTCCAACTGCAAACATATCCCTGAAACGTGCACTGTCTTGCTCAAACTTTGACGTGCCATCACACACTGGCAACAAGGCCGGTTGACTAAAACAAGCTCCCTGTAACTTATCATGCTGGCGAGCTGCAATATGGTGCAAGCCTTGAACCAATCATGGCCTTGGAAAAAGGTTCTTGCCTGAGACATCCAACCATTCTCTGCCTATCTGATTCACAAGGAGCCAAACTGCCTAAGCGCCAAAGGCTTTGCTTGCTTCTTGGGTGGAAGGCCCCGCCCCCTGTGCCTCCTGTCGATGATCGCAGGCCATTTTCACTTGCCTGCCAGTCCGTCGTGCGCCCGACGCCATGCAACATCCACCCAGTCCAAGAACACCCTACACCCTCACACAGACATGCTAACGGGGCAAAAACGAGGCAACTTGTTTGTGTTGTTCCCCGCCGCTCAGCGCCCCTTGGCGTGACTGCTATGGGGACTTCACGTGCGCAAGTCGGCGGAGGTTGGGCGTACACCAAACACTGCTGCCTGCACCGTCAACATCCCCCAACATTTTTTGTTAACACCAACACCCCCGGCATCACCAGAAGCCTTGGTTTAGGCTGAGTTTAGGGCGGATTCGAGGTTTTTTCAGGGTGGGCTTAGAGCTTGGGTTTCTTTAGGGTGGCTTTACGGTTGGCTTAGGAGTTTTTTAATAGGAAAGGTAGGGTTGGTTTAGAGCTCCTTTAAGGTGGGCTTAGGGTTGGGCTTAGCTGGGTTTAGGGCAGGCTTGGTTTAAGGTTACTTTACTTGTGGCTTAGGGTGGGTTAGTGGCAGTTTAGGGTGGGTTTAGTGGTGGTTTAGGATTGGTTTATATAGCGGGCTTGGGGTCGAAAGCCACCTGCCCGGAGGAACCCTAGCTGCTTTGGCTGTTTCTTTTCCAGTGACTCAATGGCCCTAGCGATCGATTCGGTTTTCGTGGGAGCAACCCAGTGGGGTACGGGGTGCTGAAGGCTGACTCTGACAACGACTCACAAGCCCAGACGGCCGACCGACCGACCGACCATTCCCACCAAAGCGGTCCCACTCCCTGAGTTGTCTTTATGGCCGCAAGGCTTATTGAGCCCTTAGCACGGAGGGTTGTAGGCTGGCGCTTTTTCCCCAACAATGGCTTCGGGCTTCAGCCGTACGATTTCGGGGCATCGGCAGACCAAAATCCGGAGGGAATTGAGGGCTTTGGAAAGTTCCAGAGGAATCCAATGCAAGTGAACTGGACAACCAAAGATTCGGAGGTTCCGGAGAGTTCCAAAGGTTCCGGAGGGTTCTGCAGTGCTATTTGAGCAAACGAGGTGACCAAACATCTGAATCTTGTGTTTTTTAGGAATTTCCGAGGGGGTGCGGGAGCTGTAATGTAGCGGGGTTGATGAATGATTTGCAGAAGCCCGGAATCGGGCCCCAAATCTGTCTGGTCGTTCTTGGACCCCGAACGTGTGTAATCACATTTGGCCCTCAACCCTCAACACTGAGGCCTGGAACATGCGCGGAAGTGAAGCACTCGCGAGTTTGTTTTCAACCTTGGGGATCTTCTGTGGGCTTAGTCTACCATCCATTCATATTGGTGTGTCTATTTTTTGGGAAGGGTACTCGATATTGGGGGTTTCAAAGGCAAACTTAAAAGGAAAGCCCCCATTTTGCAGGGGTCCCCGAAGAAAGGACACCCACATGGAGTATGGAGCGAGTCAGAAGTTTACAAACTAGAGTAACAAACATGTGTTTCCTCGAAGAAAACTCTTTGTGTGAAACTTAGTCACACGGCGCTGGCCGCCTCCAGGGTGGGAAACCAACCAACTCCCACAGAGAAACTTTGTTTTTGCTCAAGGAAAAACAAAGGTTTGCCTGGCCGAACAAACTTTAGTTTCGGGGCCCGGAAACAAAGGTGCAGGGGCAGAAAACTGTTTTTCCCCCCCCCCCCGAGTGGAACTAACCTTTCCGCCTGGGGGGAAGGGGAGAGCCCAAAAACAAACGTTTTGAAACGTTAGTTTCGTGCAGGGAAAACAAATGTTTCCAGGATTGAAAATCGACTTTGTTAGTTTCGCATCACCAGCAACATCCCCAGCATCACCGGGCCGCTCTGAGATTTGGGGGACTACTCGAACAATAATTAGGGGAGGGGGGATTGTTACTGGGGGGTTGCAGCTGCTCGAACAAGAAAGGGATTACTCGCTCGGGATTGTTGTTGGGGGGCAGGAAAAAGGGCGGAAGTACGGATTGTTGTTTGGGGGGCCCGGGGGGGGGGGGTTGCTGTTTCCTCTCGCAAATGGGAAGGGAAGAAATAGCCGTTGTTCGGCATTGCGATCCGGGCTTGTAACCGCGAACTCTCTCCAGTAGTGTCTTTTTTCTCTATTGGCGCCCTGCAAAATGCAAACAGAAATGCGTGCAACGTGCCCAACAAGAGTTGCACGGGGTAAATCACGCGCTCAAATAGCGCTAAAATGTATGGAAACAGCATGCAGAATCTTGCCTGCAAAATGCTTACAAAATGAACAACGCTCCCCCCTTCCACACACACATCCTCCCCAAGAACAACCCCGCCTCCTTTATCCTGCGGGTACGACTCTGACCCAACCTCCACCCTAAAACAACCCCCTGTGTTGCGCGGGTATCAGCCTGAACCAACCCCCAACCCTAAACACCCAAATAACCAATCCAAAATCTGCCCTAGACCAACCAAACCAACTCAACCCAGCGTAAACCCACGGAGACAACCCACCCTGAATCATCAAACGATCGAAACCCACACTAAACCGACCCGAACCACCATACACCAACCCATAAACCCACACAAAACCCACCATACAAGCCACCGCAAACCAACCCCAACCCACCCCAGACCTATCCCAATCCCACCCAAAAAAAAACACCCTAAGGGGCTGCAGAGCCAAGGGCGATGGCGCGCTGCGCGGAAAGTGTTGCCAAAACATCATGGACACAACAAACCTCCTGACGAAACTAGAGTTTGCAGGCAGATGCGGCAGAGAAACAAACTCCCAGCCCGAGATCAAAGCATGTTTATATTCAGCGCTGAAACAAGAGCTTGTCTGGAACGTTTGTTTTCGGTGTGCGAAACTAACCTTCTGCCCGCGAGTGTCCTTTTTGTGTTTACCAGAAAACAAACAAACTAAACTCTCCGATGAAACGTTTGTTTCCAAGTTTCCAAACTAGCCATTCTAGGGTTTCACAAAAGTTTTCCAAGGCAAAACAAACGTTCACGGGAGGAATGTGCTTTCAAGACAGAAACAAACCTTTCACACGGGAAACGGTTGTTTCTCCATTGGAGACGAACATATCCGTGCATGCGACAAAAGAGAAGCATGACCTCAGAAGAAGCATGTTTTTTGTCCAGAAACAAAGGTTCCGCAGACTGCCACAAGTTTGAAATATCGTCTTGAAACAAAAGTTAGGCCAAAAGCTAATAGTTAGTTCTTTCAAAACTAACTAACTAACTAACTAGCTAGCTAGCTAACTAAGTAACCAACCAACCAACTAACTGACTGGTGACTTTCTCCCCATTGCCCACATGGGACCCGTCGGGGGTCCATTGGTTGCCCTCAGCGGTGCCGATGCCGTCTGTGCCTCTCCCGGTGGCCGCCAGCTTCTGCCAGAAGATTGCGTGCGATCGTAAACCTGGGAGATGCAGCGCATGCAGAGAAAGCGACCGAGAGAGCAAACACCTAAGCAAGCAAGCAAGCAAGCAAACAAACAAACGAACGAACAAAACAAACAAACAAGCTACCACACACAAAAAAACTGCACAACAATATGATATAAATTCAACACTACACACTGCAACGCAATGAAATGCAAAGCAATGCAATGCAATGCAATGCAGTGCAGTGCAGCGCAGCGCAGCACAGTGCAGTCCAGTTGAGTGCAATACAAATACAGCTACTACAATGCAAAATGGTACAAAACGAAACAAGCATGTAATTCGGAGGGGCCAAAAACGGGTTCAAGCAAAGCAACACGTACACACACACACACACACCAAACACGATGCGTGGAGATCAACACCCAAAAATGAATCGGCACGAAGTCTTTGCAACATGCATCGTTGAAAGCCCCTTGTTGGACTTGTCGGATGTTCTTCAATGGGACTAAGCTGCGGATGAACCTGAAACCCAAGAAGAACGGGTGACCCAGTCGTGGCATGCAAACCTCAGCCCACGGCTCTGCGTTCGCCAGCGCGAAGCAGAGCGGCCTGGGTGGCAGTTCCCAGACCTCAAGCCCCGAGAAAGGGAATCCCAAATTCTGTGTCTGATTGACTAGGCCAAGGCCTATGATACGATTCGAGACCCGATCGTTGCAGCCAAAGCACTCTTTGGAGACATTGGACTCACCGCGGCTGATGCAGAAGAGACTAGTTTGATGCACCCAAACAAACTGGTCTTGAGGGCAACTGGAAATGCGGAAACGCAAAAAGAAACGTGCCTCTTTTGCTCGCTTCGCAAGCGCTTGAGAGGGTGGCACGTTCTCCAGTTGGCACGACGGCAGAATGGCCCATCTTCGCAAGAAAAGGGGGACAAGCACTAAGCGCAACGCAAGCAGACCAAATGGTCGCTTCATTTGTTGCCTCTGGTGGGGCAAATGTCAGAGAGGGGTGGGGAATGAGCCAAAACATAAGCCTTGATGCCAGGCTGAGGCCACTTTACAGCGAGCCACTGCCTCAGAAAGTCTTGAGCGTCTTTGGCCCAACTGCCTAACACTGCCCAAAGCTCGCTTCTGCTAGGTACAAGGAAATTGGTGGCAATGCATGGTGTTGCATTCGGTGGTAGCCACAATCAGTGCAATCATGGTCGTCACGATGATTAAAAAAAAAAGTCAGAGCATCCAGTAAGAGCGAAGCTCAAACGTGGTTTTCACCTGCAAGGTGCTGCATGGACTGAGCAAAGACTGCGATACGAGCAAGAGCTTCACAGAGAAATGTGGGGCATTCACAAACTGCTTCTGGATTACATGTCGTGGAAGAGCAAATTGCTGCAAGTCAGCCCATGATCTAAAGAAACGCAAGCTAATCTCAAATATATAAAAATGAAGGAGCCGATGCCTGAAGAAAAGCCACACTCACCACTACTGTGGCGATTGTATGGATGATACTGAATAAAACCACTCTTAGACTTTGCTTCAAGATGGTCAATAAACGCAAACGCCAGCCCTCATGTTTTATAGCATCTGAAAAGCTTGTGTCGCTTCCAAACTGTCGCATACTTCGTCAGGCCCTTGTCCCGGGCCCTTTTTCGAGATCTGCGCTTCAGTGCAAGACCCCTATCCGGGAACATCCGGACAACGTGGCAAACCTGCAGATTAGATCAGGTTGGCGGTAGCGCAATAGCTGCCCAAGCAGAACGAACTCTGAGTCGCCGAAAGCCAAATGCGAATGTGTCAAAGGGGACGCCTCATTGGCTTCGTGTGTAGAGTCCAGACCAGGCGAGTTCTTAGAACGTTCTCTCCTCAATGTTCGTCAGGTTTGTCCAACAAAACATGACTGCCAAGATTGGTGTGTTTCTTTGGCTCCCCTTTGAAGCCCCGTTTAAACGGGCCCATTCCTTTGGCACATCAGCGGAGTATGCCACTGGCCCGCTTTCGAGTCAGTGCCAAAACCTGGGCGTGAGTCCCCTTTGTGGCAACAGGGTGGGTTTAGCGGGGGACAACCCTTTAACATCTGGTTTCGGTAAATCAAGTGGAGTCCCCCTGTTTCCTCAAACTCACTTAGCCACTTGCATATTTGGTTGACCTCCCTTGGTCCCAGGGTCCCAATAGCTCTACTTGGGGCAAGGCGGAGGCAAGTTCTTACACAAGTTGCCGGTGCAGGAACAGTGTCAACTGGCAGTCCCACTTTTGAACCGGTCCAAGCACGACACAACGGCTGGTTGCTGCTCACGCCAGCCGGATTGTTTTAAGACTCCAAGAACAGGAAACCCGAAAAAAGAATGCAGCAACAAGGGAAAGGATTCCACCAATCGGTGGCTGCCCCTTAGCGCACCAGCTTTTCTTTTAGCAGAAAATATGTTTGAGGACAGTGGCATCAGGTGCTCCGTTCTTCAGACCTTTGTGATACTTGCTCCTTTACAGAGCTCAAAACAATTGGAAAGGCGCAAAACTGCAAGCAAAATCCTGCAAACCAACCCGACGCCCCCGATTTGGAGGGGGTTCGCAGTTTTGACACATCTATTATCCAGTTGAAAAGTGGGGTAACAGCACGGCCCACGGCCAGAACTGGGCATTCCCCCATATAGTTGTGCCCCTCCCAAAAAAAGAAATTACTCACCTACCTCCCTGTGCATTTCCCCCTCCACCCCACCCCGCCCCCCCAGCCCCAAGCCAAGCACCCGGGCCACCCAGGCCCTCCCGTGCAGAGCGCCTCCATGAAGATGCGGCCTGCACTCGGCCGACTGGCAACCAATTCGACGCCCGGGGTCCGCCCAGGTCCATGGCCTCCTTGGGAGAGCCCCGCATCCTTGATGGTCATGTCATCCTGGGCCCGGCTTTTTCAGGCTTCAGGGTCCACCCGAACTGGGACATGGGACGCAGGTGTAGCCAAAACGGTCGTCAAACTTTGACCCAGCAAAGTGACCTGCCGCGTCAACATAAAAGCTAGGATTGCCGAGCCTTGCGACGCATGCGCGCCTCCAATCCATGCACTCTGGAAGATGATGCTGCGATACTAGACCAATCCCCATCAGCATCTACTGCTCATCTCAAAATAAGTCAACCCGCATCAATGAGTAGTTTCCTCTGGGTTTCCTGTTACAACCTGGGACTAGCCTCGAAACAAAACGCGCCCGTTTTGGGCGAAGAGTCTGCAAACACAAGTTGAGTGTCTCTTTAAGATGGCAGCAAAGCTTCCCGAGTCCCAGCAGAAGCTGCCATGCCAACAAGCCACTCATACCGCGAATGCCGAAACATCCCCAATATGCACTCGATGGTTCCCCCCCCGCCTCCCCTCGGCAAATATGCGGCTCAAGAGTCACGGGGCTAAATGAAGGTCTGTTTTGATGGTGCCCCTGTTAGGGGACAATGAAAGGATGCTGCCTTGAGAATATGGCGAGGGGCCTTCAGCACCCGGCCCTTGTACTCCATCCGCTGCTTCACCTTCGAGATCCGCGTGTGTCGACTCACGTGCTCCTGAGCGAGCTCCGCGAGCTCCGCTTCGAGCGGACAATCCCATGGGCGCTCGGCCCAAGGTGCGAAAGGATGGCAGGGTCCCCTTGGAGCACAAAACATCTCTCCAGAACAGAGAACACACATGGATGTGGCGCACAGCCTGCAGCTGGGCGCAGAATGTTGGGTCTGAGCCTTCTCGCGCGTGGGGCACGCAGGTCGGCCAGGTTTGGGGAGTGACAGTCCCCCTGCACAACTGCACGACGGCCTGCGAAAACTTGGTCACACAATCTGCAAGAGCGTGCGCAACTCTCAACACTTGCCGGCTTGCCGGCAGAACCCGGCAACTGGACTCTGCAACTGGACCCTGCAACGGCACCCAGCAACAGAAACTGGCCAAAATTCTTGGTCACACCCTGGCCGAGCATTAGCTTGTGGCTCCTTCTACACTCAGAGTTAAAACCTTGTGGCGTTCAGCTGTCTGCCCGAAAGAGGAACAAGACTGCCATCGGTTTGGAAGGAGAACTCGCTGTATGGCTCGAGGATTAATGGTTCTAAGGTACCATTGACGAGAGATCCATTTCCAACCTACAAAACAATCAGGGTTCAGTGTTTACCCACGCTCGACCACAAGTAGCATGAGTCCGATAGCTGTACTCCCTCCTACGGCATGTTGGAACTTGCCCAATGACAACAGCTGCGCACGCGACACGAAACATAAATGATATGTCAAAGGTTCGGGCAAACAGCCTCTTGCCTGAAGAAGGCAAATTGAGCCCTTGGTGTCCTCGTGGGGCATACCAAATGGAACGGTCATATACTTTCATTAAAAACATCCATTCTGCCGGTTGCTTCTCAAGATACATGTTTGGCTTGGGATTCAGGCCATCCACCAAGCTGAACAGCTCAGCTCAACTGTGTGGCTTGTTCTTCGCCGTCCGAAGTTTAGGCCTGGTGAAGGGAAAGACACGGACCCAATATCAGTTTTCTGCCTTTGTGGCTTGAGCAACCCTGCAAACATATGGAGCTCGCTAAACCCGTCGGCCCAGTGCCGAAGCACGCCCTTCCCGGCGTCCTTGAGAGCCTCCACCCGCGCCACACAGGGATCCCCCAAGGACTCCAAAGTCCTCATGCGCGGTGAATTCCCGAAGCATGGCAAGAGAACCAACTGCAAACCACTTCCAGGGTTGTGCGTGTTCCCTGCTTGCAATATTTTAGGGAATCAACCTGGCAAGCCGTCTTTTTCACGTCAAGATCAGCGTGGCAGGCTTGCCTGCAATCATTTGGGCCGGGCAAACAAAGCGAGATGACTGAGATGCAAAACAGAGGTCAACAGTCCAGGTCAACGGTGGCAACACCCCCAGCACCACTGTCGCATTCTGGATGGGAGGGAGGGGATTCTTTCAGGAGCACTACCGGCCCTGCTTCCCCTGTCCGAGTAGTTCATGTTGGACATTGCCCCTGCCTCTGTGGTTGTGGAAAAAGGACTCCTGTCTCGGCTTTACAGCCAAATTCTCCCTGAAAACCAATAAACAAGTCATAGGGATGGCCCTCTTTCTTGAAGCCGCTCGCCTTCACATCCCAGGGCCCCCACACCGGCAGCGCGCTCTTCTGCTGACTGCCTACCTTGCGAGGCTGAGGCTCAGATAACACCAACCCCCGCAGGAAAGGTTCGTAGACTCTTCGTAGAAGTGAATCTTAGAAGGCTTCTGAGCAGTGGTTCTTAGAAGGGTTGCGGGTCTATGGGAGGGGTCCAGCCTCAGGCAAGAGAGAAAAATGTATCGGGCAGTGAACAATGAGAGTACCTTAGAGTACCAAAGATTCAACAGCAACAACTGTGCCCTCCACTCTGTCTTGGCTCGTCTGGAGTGATGCCCATTCATTCTCCAGGGGTGATAGATCGACCACTGTTGCCACCGAAAGCCCCAACACAAGCTCGGACACCAATCTCCTCACAAAAAGTACAACCAACATCCAAGCCAGGTCCAAGCCATCCAGCAAGTTAGGACGTGCCGGTCTATTTTGAGCCTGGAAGTTGATGCTACATAGCCCTGTGACAAATCAGTTCGTCCGGCTCCCAATCCAACGGCTGAGAACAGGCTGCGCTTTCAAACTGATAAAGTGGGCAGTGGCCGTGCGGCCACAATGCACAACTTTGTCATCGCTTCCTGTAGAGAACAAACACACCTCTTCCTTAGAGCAACATTTCGAACATGTCTGGTGGCAAGGCCGGGAGAGCAGAACGCAGGAAACCCCATTGACCCAGTGCTCTTTGATTGAACTCAATTGGTTCTTTCTAGGAAAAATGGCCAGGATCATAGTTCAATCAGATGGGACCCCATGTCCATAGCTGGCGCGCTGCTGACTGCACAAGGATCACGGCCATTGCGCGAGCAGGGCTATCAGCGGACAGGCAGAACGGCTCTAAACAATATGTGGTCATAAAAATTCACCAACCTGAATCAAGACATGGAGGACCCTTCATCACGGGTGAAGTCGCAACCGCCTTTGTGAGGTCGATATAAGTCGCAAAGGCGCAGCGCCCAGTTTGCCGCATGGCAATGTCTCGCTTGTTCTATGGTCAGAGCCAAGTCTTCTGCTTCCGAGATTCGGGCTAATAAAGATATGATCTAACATGAGCCATGCTGAAAACGTCTCGCTTTTGGGGAAGTGATGACTGCTGAATGTGGTGTGCCTTGCGGACAAAATTGGGCCCTAACATGAAGTGGTCGGAGTTTGAGACCGTGCAATCTCTGACTCGGGTCCCACTCTACCTGTGGCTCGAGTGCTCGGCGCGACGTCTTGATGGCGGCTGTGAAGCCCCTGTTTTGGTTTCCCACATGTGCATTTTGCGGAGATATATGCAGTGCCGTAAGCATGCTTGTTCCAGCCACCCTACCCGCGAGTTCAGGTAGCCAGCTCATCGTCTATGTATGAATGTGCATGCATGCTGTGTCATCCCCACAAGAAATGGATGCTGAACTGATTCCTTGTTGCTCATCTGCCTGGGCTGGCTGTGGAAGTAGAAGGGAGCTCTGGACTTTCTTCTGGGACCCTGAGGCTGAGCTCGGGATTCCGCTCCAAGCCGCAAGCCGCAGGTGATGGGCCCCCAGCGTCCAGCCACGACCGTCCACGCGCCAAATGCTGGCATTGGAAGAGAGCAGAGTTTTGCAGACCTGGCACGGATGGACTCGTGTCACGCAAGGATTGCCAAACCCTGGCCATAGTGCCGTGGTTTGATGCTAGGATGTGCCGGGGTCCAAGGAACATTGGGCCTGGGCAATGGCGGGCGAAGGAGCACACACCAAACAACGCTGGGCCGCGCGACCCCGTTGTTCAAACAGCATCAAGCTCTTTGATCAGCGCAAAAATGGGGCAAACATGTGAAGCAGTACCAAAAGCACGGCCCCGGCCCCTCGTGTTTGCAGCAGGGGTTAGCATGCCAAGAAATACACATCTTGCACTTGCCCTTCAAGTCTGCCTTGTGCAATCTTGGTAAAAGAAGCAGGCAGGTTAGACTAAGATCAGGCATTGCCCGAAAAGAAAGAGCCAACATGTTGATTGGTGCTTGCTTCTTGCCGCTAGCTCGTTGCTCTTCCATCGAGGAAGTTCTTCCAGTGTCTTTCTACCATCTCTAGTCTTCCTTGCTGAAATGAGTGGAATGCACATTCAACCCAACTAGACCCAGAAAGGACGCCACACCCTCAGCCTGCCAATGACCACCTTCACATGCCCGCATGAGCGGCGTCCTTAGGCGCGAGGGAGCCAATGCAGACAGCCTAAAGCACCAGGAAAATGAGAGGTCGAGGGGCACGTGGTGGCTTGGTTCACCAAGTGCCTCTCCTGAAAAGCACCCCCGAAAAGAAGTGTAACAAGAAGACGCTTCAAGGTTCTCAGCGGTCTGGATGCCTTCATTAAACCTTTTGTCGAGTGCGAAAAAATAGGCCACCTGAGTCATTACTCATTACCAATTCTCAAAAGCCACATGTCTCAGAAGCCAATCGAAGGGACACTAAGGAACCTGGGGCCCAGGCCGGCGTGCCGCCCGGCCTTGCCCAGCATCGCCTCGAGAATTTTGTATTGGGCCCCACGCTCTCGAAAAAGCCGACTGCGAGGACTCTTTAGTCAGCAGCCTCAGGCGCGGTTCCTGTCCCATGTCTTTTCTATGGTGTTCCTATGGTTTTCCAGTGATGGCCTATTGCACAATTGCTGCAAGCCTGAGGGTACAGTACCAAATGGAAGCCATTTGGAGGAGTCCCCAGGGAACAAAATGGTGCCACTGGCAGATTAGAAAAACACTGAAACCTGTGGATTGCATCTGTGTTCAATCGAAACCAATCCAAGCACACCTAGATGAGCGCTGAGACCTGCCACGATGCACGGATGTGGTTGGTTCATTGTCTTTTGATGTTTGGCACCCAACTCGTTTTGTGAGCCCAACCAAAAGATTTACAAACGGCTTGAGGTTGGAAAGTTCAAGCCCACCCTGCCCCCCCAGAGCCCCCGACCCATGGCGATGCAAAGCTCCGCCCTGGTGTCGACACGCGCCCCGTCGCCTGGAGTGTGCCCCCTCCGGGCACTCATCCCCCACAAAACCAAACCTTACTGGGCAACTAGTCGATGTGAATTACTGGTCTCTGATGGGAGTTGAACACAGGAACTACTTTTGGAACCCTAGTATCGTGCTGTGCCGACTTTTTCTGGGCAAATTGTGACACTGCGCCTGGAAGGGACAAGATTGCAGCGCCCCTTTGAACATCATCAGGACTTATGGTATCCAGTTGTGTTTGATAGCGCGTTATTGCTTCAAGATCGAAGCCCTCGGGATGGGTAGCGGGCGAAGGCTTGACATGGATACTGGATCGCTGTTCAGCTTGGGCAATGCCAGTTGCTCACAAATCCTTACTAGCAAGCGAACCACAAACTGTCACACAATGCTTAGCTCTGCACGGAATGGTATCGTCTAACAAAGCTCGTCTCAAAATGTGTTTGCTCTTTTCTGGCAGATGATTAAGATGTATTCTAGGGCTGCGCTCACCAGCTGCGCTGTCCGGTAGCCCAGCCCCAGCTCAGCCCCGCCCAGCGGCCGCAGTATGCATCCCCAGCATCACCTGCATCCATTTGCATCCCCGCGTTCCTGGCACCACCAGGTTTCTGCATCACCAGCATCCGCAACTGGCCCCAAATTAGCATTGGAGCAATTCGTTCATCATTCACATCAATAGTCCGCAACTAAGCGCACAGCAATGGCTCGAAATTCTACACAACCAGATCCCCCAGCCGGACCATGGTGATGCTGCTGATGCTGGTGATGCAAAGTAGGCTGTGCAATGAAAAGCGCCAAATTGTGGACGATGCAGAGACTGTGTTTTCGCCACCGCCGGATCACCTGCATCGCCGGCTTGCCATTTCGTATCTTGGCAGGGCGGCAGCCCTGAGGCCTTCGTCTAAGGCTACCACTGACGCTCGCTAAAAGCTCGCTTGCGAGTACACAGCGTGGCTGGATGAAGCTTGCTGTGCCGGACATGTTTTCGGCGGCAAGCCAGCGAAAACAACCCAACAACATAATAACTCGGCAGCCAAGACGGAGATACGAACCCGATGTGTTTCAGCAACCGTACACACAGTTCTGGATCCAAAGCCCCATTTGCCCCAAAGCCAACTCCAGTGCCCCAGAGGCCAACACGGTGCAAAACAATGACCCGAACAACGTGCACACATTGAAAACCAACCTCGATTCTGCAGGGGAGGCAACTCCTATCCTGCTGACCCCCCGCCCCCTCTCGCGGGAGCCAAGCGACATACACACCTCGGATTTGGGGTCCAGGGAAAACCTTGCGATTCCATGTTGCTGGGCATTGGCTCTTCCCCTCGGACCTCTGCCAACTTTTGACCGCGGCTCTTCTTTGGTATGGATTTTGGAGGTATGCAGCTTATCTACCACTTTCATAAGGGGCATGAAACTGCCTTACTTACAAAGGTATTAGGGTAAAGCGGTGTTGACTTCAAAAGCAGAATGTAATATAAAAGCCTGTCTCATCGAAGCCCTGCCTCATGACGTGAGACCAAAACCTTCCTTGCCTTATTTTCCGACTACGTCAAGAAGGATCCTGGGCGTCCCGGACGCAGCGCCCGCTCAATGTCTTTGACCTCCCCGCGCACGGCAGCCTGGCTTGGAACGGCCTCTCTCCGAATGCGGTCACCCAGCTGATCGTTAAATGGTTGAAACCATGCTGCACGCGCGGGCGGTTTCACGCTTCCAGGATTCCAGGAGACTGAAATATGTGGAAGTGAGATGCCAGCCATGCACACAGGTTGGCAAATCCCAACTGCGGAACATGAGAAAAAACTGGGGGCCTGTGCCAGGCGTACATCGGCGCACTCCTGGCAAGGCCACTCCGTCTCTGTCTCTGTCTATCTCCGTCTGTCTCTGTCTGTCTCTGTCTATCTCTGTCTGTCTGTATCTGTCTGTCTGTCTGTATACTTGATGTATGTATGTATGCATGCATGCACGCATGCATGCGTGTATGTTTGGATGCATGGGTGCATGGATGGATGGATGGATGGATGGATGGATGGATGGATGGATGGATGGATGCATCTATGTGTCAAGAGACGGCAAGGTGACGTCCCGTGGGACGCTGTGCACCGAACCCTCCAGCTGTAATACCAACCACGTAGAAAGGTGTATACGGTCTAAGCCGTTATAGCCGAACCCGTGTAAATGTTGTAAGGGAGAAGGAATAATAGTTACAACAGTGGTCCTGACAAATGCAGCGCAAGCGAAGTGTTTTCCGCTCTCAATGCCGATCACGTGTGAACGCAGCTACACATCAGATCTTGAACCTCAATTGTGTCTTGAGCCAAATGGCGATCAATGGAACTTGGTAAGCAACACTAACACAGACCTCAGAACTGCTTCCCAATTTAGGCACGGGGCCTAGAGGGTTTTAACATCCCCCATTTGGGTCGCATTGTTCATCATGCGGTCCAAACACCACAAAACGTTCCACTGGCCACGGCTTCAGCTACGAAATCGTGCCGCGCACTCTTTTACTTGCTATCGCTACACCGTTCATTCATTGTGAAACATGCCGGGTTCGATTGTATGAAAAGTGAAACATGCATCCATCAATCGAAGCGCATTCCCATATGCAGGTGTATACAATACACTATTGTCACGTCATTTGACCACCATTGAACATCCCAGCTGCCGCATTTGCGCATCGCGCAGCCGTCATCCATAGAAAATGGGTTGGCCATAAAAGTCCAACAGAGGCGCCTGCTCGTAAGCAATCTGCATATCACCGGCAAAGAAATATCGGTGAGCAATCAATGCAAACCATAGCCATTCCAGATACCATGAACAATATATATAATGAAAAGGAAATCATCCATGAGGTAATAGTTCCATCCATGAATATC